CATGATCAATCTCATACATCACATATCATTCATCGCATTCTTCTTGGCCATATCACATCACATAGCATACCCTGCAACAACAAGTTAGACATCCCCTAATTGTTGTTTGCATGTTTTACGTGGCTGCTATGGGTTTCTAGCAAGAACGTTTCTTACCTACGCAAAAACCACAACGTGATATGCCAATTGCTATTTACCCTTCATAAGGACCCTTTTCATCGAATCCGATCCGACTAAAGTGGGAGAGACAGACACCCGCTAGCCACCTTATGCAACTAGTGCATGTCAGTCGGTGGAACCAGTCTCACGTAAGAGTACGTGTAAGGTCGGTCCGGGCCGCTTCATCCCACAATGCCGCCGAATCAAGATTGGACTAGTAACGGTAAGCATATTGAACAAAATCAACGCCCACAACAACTTTGTGTTCTACTCGTGCATAGAAACTACGCATAGACCTAGCTCATGATGCCACTGGTGGGGAACATAGCAGAAATTCAAAATTTTCCTACGTGTCACCAAGATCTATCTATGGAGAGACCAGCAACGAGGGGAAGGAGAGTGCATCTACATACCCTTGTAGATCGCTAAGCAGAAGCGTTCAAGAGAACGGGGTTGAAGGAGTCGTACTCGTCGTGATCCAAATCACTGGAGATCCTAGTGCCGAACGGACGGCACCTCTGCGTTCAACACACGTACAGCCCGATGACGTCTCCCATGCCTTGATCCAGCAAGGAGAGAGGGAGAGGTTGAGGAAGACTCCGTCTAGCAGCAGCACGACGGCGTGGTGGTGATGGAGGAGCGTGGCAATCCTGCAGGGCTTCGCCAAGCACCGCAATAGACGAGGAGGGAGAGGGGTAGGGCTGCGCCAAGAAGGAGAGGAACTCGTGTGTATTGGGCAGCCCAAACCTCAATTATATATAGGGGAAGGGGAGGGGCTGCGCCCCCACCTAGGGTTCCCTCCCTAGGGGTGGCGACAACCCCCTAGATCCCATCTAGGGGCGGCCAAGGGGAGGGGAGAGGGGGAGGCGCACCAGGGTGGGCCTTAGGGCCCATCTGCCCTAGGGTTTGCCCCCTTCCCCTCTTCCTTGCGCCTTGGGCCTTGGTGGGGGGCGCACTGTTGGAAATATGCCCTAGAGGCAATAATAAATTGATTATTATTATATTTCCTTGTTCATGATAATCGTTTATTATCCATGCTAGAATTGTATTGATAGGAAACTCAGATACATGTGTGGATACATAGACAACATCATGTCCCTAGTAAGCCTCTAGTTGACTGGCTCGTTGATCAACAAATGGTTATGGTTTCCTGACCATGGACATTGGATGTCGTTGATAACGGGATCACATCATTAGGAGAATGATGTGATGGACAAGACCCAATCCTAAGCATAGCACAAGATTGTGTAGTTCGTATGTTAAAGCTTTTCTAATGTCAAGTATCATTTCCTTAGACCATGAGATTGTGCAACTCCTGGATACCGTAGGAATACTTTGGGTGTGCCAAACGTCACAACGTAACTGGGTGGCTATAAAGGTACACTACAGGTATCTCCGAAAGTGTCTGTTGGGTTGGCACGAATCGAGACTGGGATTTGTCACTCCGTGTGACGGAGAGGTATCTCTGGGCCCACTCGGTAGGACATCATCATAATGTGCACAATGTGATCAAGGAGTTGATCACGGGATGATGTGTTATGGAACGAGTAAAGAGACTTGCCGGTAACGAGATTGAACAAGGTATCGGGATACCGACGATCGAATCTCGGGCAAGTATCGTACCGCTAGACAAAGGGAATTGTATACGGGATTGATTAAGTCCTTGACATCGTGGTTCATCCGATGAGATCATCGTGGAACATGTGGGAGCCAACATGGGTATCCAGATCCTGCTGTTGGTTATTGACCGGAGAGTCATCTCGGTCATGTCTGCATGTCTCCCGAACCCGTAGGGTCTACACACTTAAGGTTCGGTGACGCTAGGGTTATAGAGATATTAGTATGCGGTAACCCGAAAGTTGTTCGGAGTCCCGGATTAGATCTCGGACGTCACGAGGAGTTCCGAAATGGTCCGAAGGTAAAGAATTATACATAGGAAGTGCTATTTCGACCATCGGGACAAGTTTCGGGGTCACCGGTATTGTACCGGGACCACCGGAAGGGTCCCGGGGGCCACCAGGTGGGGCCACCTACCCCGAGGGCCACATGGGCTGTAGGGGGTGCGCCTTGGCCTATATGGGGCAAGGGCACCAGCCCCAAGAGGCCCATGCGCCAAGAATCAAGGGAAAGGAAGAGTCCTAAAGGGGGAAGGCACCTCCGAGGTGCCTTGGGGAGGAGGGACTCCTCCCTGGCCGCACCATTCCTTGGAGGAAGGGCCAAGGTTGTACCTCCCCCCTCTCCCTTGGCCCTATATATAGTGGGGGGAAGGGAGGGCAACCATACCTAAGCCCTGGCGCCTCCCTCTCCCTCCCATGACACATCTCCCTCCTCCTGCAGCGCTTGGCGAAGCCCTGTTGGAATCCCGCTACTTCCACCACCACGCCGTCGTGCTGCTGGATCTCCATCAACCTCTCCTCCCCCCATTGCTGGATCAAGAAGGAGGAGACGTCGCTGCTCCGTACGTGTGTTGAACGCGGAGGTGCCGTCCGTTCGGCGCTAGGGTCATCGGTGATTTGGATCACGATGAGTACGACTCCATCACCCCCGTTCTCTTGAACGCTTCCGCGCGCGATCTACAAGGGTATGTAGATCCACTCCTCCCTCGTTGCTAGATGACTCCATAGATTGATCTTGGTGACACGTAGGAAAATTTTGAATTATTGCTATGTTCCCCAACACGCACCAGCCCACTTGGGGCTGGTCCCCTCCCACACTTGGCCCATGCAGCCCTCTGGGGCTGGTGGCCCCACTTGGTGGACCCCCGGGACCCTCCCGATGGTCTCGGTACGTTACCGATAAACCCCGAAACTTTTCCGGTGACCAAAACAGGACTTCCCATATATAAATCTTTACCTCCGGACCATTCCGGAACTCCTCGTGACGTCCGGGATCTCATCCGGGACTCCGAACAGCAATCGGTAACCACATACAAACTTCCTTTATAACCCTAGCGTCATCGAACCTTAAGTGTGTAGACCCTACGGGTTCGGGAACCATGCAGACATGACCGAGACGCTCTCCGGTCAATAACCAACAGCGGGATCTGCATACCCATGCTGGTTCCCACATGTTCCACGATGATCTCATCGGATGAACCACGATGTCGAGGATTCGATCAATCCCGTATTCAATTCCCTTTGTCTAGCGGTATTGTACTTGCCCGAGATTCGATCGTCGGTATCCCGATACCTTGTTCAATCTCGTTACCGGTAAGTCTCTTTACTCGTTCCGTAACACATCATCCCGTGATCAACTCCTTGATCACATTGTGCACATTATGATGATGTCCTACCGAGTGGGCCCAGAGATACCTCTCCGTTTACACGAAGTGACAAATCCTAGTCTTGATTCATGCCAACCCAACAAACACTTTCGGAGATACCTGTAATGTACCTTTATAGCCACCCAGTTACGTTGTGACGTTTGGCACACCCAAAGCACTCCTACGGTATCCGAGAGTTGCACAATCTCATGGTCTAAGGAAATGATACTTGACATTAGAAAATCTTTAGCATACGAACTACATGATCTTGTGCTAGGCTTAGGATTGGGTCTTATCCATCACATCATTATTCTAATGATGTGATCCCGTTATCAATGACATTCAATGTCCATGGTCAGGAAACCGTAACCATCTGTTGATCAACGAGCTAGTCAACTAGAGGCTTACTAGGGACATGGTGTTGTCTATGTATCCACACATGTATCTGAGTTTCCTATCAATACAGTTCTAGCATGGACAATAAACAATTATCATGAACAAGGAAATATAATAATAACCAATTTATTATTGCCTCTAGGGCATATTTCCAACACCCGCCACAACCCAGAGCCCTCCGCCATGCCCCATCACGACTCAGAGCCCTCCTCCATGCTCCGCTCCTTAGCAATTTGTAAATCTAAGAAGTCAAAATGAACCACTCATATAAATCTTGCTGTGAAGTTGCTTCTACACGTGAACATAAGAAAAAGGGATATCATAAACTACAATTAGGCAAAACTTGTGAACCTTCTTAGTCTCATACCTGAAGCTACAAGGCCATGTGGCACCTGTCAGACAGTATACCATCAAATAGGATCGGCGGTCACGACATTCCCGGATGCACAGTTCCTCCGCTCCTTCCCCGCCACAATCCAGAGCCCTTTGTCATGCGCCGCCGTCACCCAGGGCCCTCCTCCATGCTCCACTCCTTAGCAAAATCAAAGAAGGCAAAACAAACCACACATATAAATTTTGTTGTGAAGTTGCTTGTACACGTGAACATAAGAAAAAGGGGTACCATAAACCAAGGTTGGAAAAAGCGCTAGGCGGTAGGCGGGAAGTGACCCTCTGCCTAGTGCCTTGCCTGCCTAGGCGTAGCCTAAGCGGCCCAAGGCGTTTCGTACGGTAGCAGGTTAGGAGGATAATTATTTGGGTAGATTTTGTAGCATAGCAGGTTAGAAAAGACAATGTGGTGATAAAAAGGATAGACTTTGTACCATAGCAGGTTAGAAAGACAATGTGGTGATAAAAATAACATACATCAGGCAATGTGAAGAACTAAATATAGTCTATTCAATGGGGCAGCACGCCCATAGAAATATCAAATATTGAAATAGATTAGAGGCAAACATCACCCAAACCCAATTGGCATAGCATTATAAATTATGAGTTCAACAGTTCACACATCAAAATGAAGTTCTTTAATTTCTAGAATCTTATTGGGAGGACTTCTCTCACAAGTCAAAAAGGGAAATTCCACATGGACGCACACACAAATGGTTTGACTCAATGACATAAAGATATAATATATAAAAAGTACTTAAGAAAAGACACCCGTTCATTTGGGTCTCCTCAATTATCAATAGCCATACTCCTCATCTGAATGCATCTCCTCCTCATCATCAAACTCCTCTTCTTCAGAATCAAATTCTTCTTCTTCATAAAGTTGTCTTGGTCTCGCACTTCTACGTGGCTCGAGCAGTTCATCGCCTCCCATTGCTTCTCCAATGCCACTCCCTGACATCCCTGTACTATTCATCTCCTCCTCATCTTTATCCATATAGAGGACTTCTGCATAATCATATCCGCCCTCAAAAAGAAAACCTTGAGCTTCAGTAGTTTCAGCGGATAAGAGGACATCAGTGATCTTCTTCTCCTTGACCATTTGTTTCTTGGCCATCATTCTCGAGTTGAATTGTATGAACACAAGAGAGTTTAGACGTTATGTAGTTAGCCTATTTCTTTTCTTCGTATGTATCTACAACAGGAAAAAACATAAGGATTAAGAACAGGGAATGTTTTGACATGTGATGGACTAATCAAGCTAGATGTGAGATTAGAGAGTCAGGAGACTAACATTTTCGAAGGTACTCCAATTCCTTTCACAGACTGAAGAACTTGATGTCAATGAGAGGATTCTCACAGCCATCCTTTGTAGAGCTGGTGCTTCAGTTCCATAGAGCCTCCACCAAGATGCTATGAATTAAAGCACAGAATCAAGTTAACAATGTATTGCATAAATTCTGAATATATACTGAATAAATTAGACTTCACAAAATCAGAATGCATACCTGCATTATAATCAAAATTTTGACAACTCCTCGCAAGCTTCTTTGCAAATGATCCTTCTTTAATTCAAAATTGACAACTTGATCTTGTTTGTCATCATCACCATAATAAAAGGTCTCCACACAGCTAATGAACCCTTCAACATTAAACTACAATTAGGTAAAAATTGTGAGTCTTCTTAATCTCATACCTGAAGCTACAAGGCCGTTGTTATCATCAACCATTGCTGCTGTATGTGTGTATATTGGTATTCAACCTCAATTCCTCATAATTTGTAAATCAAGCACATACCAGTAGCAGCCTCGTTGATCGTCTTTGTCACCGTCTGCTCCCACGAGGTCATCACGAGGCAGCCGTTGCACCTTCCCATCATCCATTGTCTCCATCTTTCTCGGGCCCACGGTCTCGAGCAGGATGCCAACGACGGCCAAAGGGGCGGCGACGCGCATGCCGACAGGGGGAAGGAAGAACAGGGGCGACGATGCTCCCTCCTGAAGGAGGGAGGAGCAGGGGCGGTGGCATGTGCGCCGGGAGGAGGCCGGGAGGGCATGGGCGGCCGGGAGCGAGGGAGGAGGTGGGGGCGGGGCGGCGCCCTGATCCAGGGAGGTTGGGGGTCGGGCGGCGCCGGGAGTGAGGGAGAAGGTGGGGGCGGGGCGAGCCAGGGTCTGGGGAGGAGATGGGGCGGCCGCCGAGAGGAGGTCGGGGGGGCTTTTTTTTTGAGGGATATGGAGGAATCGCTAGGTCAGGAGGAACGTCGGGGAATCGCTAGGTTTTTTTTCGCGGGAGGGTTGCAAGTTAACGGAGGTGGGAGGATGATGAAAAAAAACCGGAGGTGGGAGGATGACGAAAAAAACCAGCGAAATTAAACCGCACAGACTATTCATCAAGTCGTCCATTAAGAGTAGAGATTATTTTGAAAAAGAATTAAAAACATTTCTATGGACACCAAACTACCGTGGAAAAGAACTGTACATGTACACACAGATGTCCACTATATGCATACAAATTTCCACCAAATATGTATTTTCATACGTGATATATGAAAAATGTGTAGATCAAATGAGCTCATCTTTTGTTGTTTCTGGAGCACTATTTTTCTCGTTGTAGCCTACAAACCAGTGATCAGTAAAACTTTTAAGATAAATTTTGAGTTCTTGTTTGAAACTCCCAGGAACCAATATGACGCTGGGAAAAAGGTCTGGACCCACTCGTCATTCACTATAAACGCTACCACGCCACAACTATTTAAAAAGAAAGAAAGAAACGCTACAGCGTACTACAAGACCCACAGTCAGATCATCCAGTCGGAACCGAGGAACCTCCAGCTGAAAAAAATTAAAATTTTCGAGGAACCCGGGCCAACGATCCGCGTGACTCCACCGCAGCCAATCAGAAATCTGCAATCCCCTTCCCACGGATCGCACCCCACGATCCGCGTGCTCCACCCCAAGACCCAATCTCGGCCGTCCACCCGCCACCGATCGAACGCCCCAAATCCATCTTCCCTCCACTCGTCCCCGCCGCAGCTCCCAAAATTTCCCAGTCTCCCGCCGGCTCCTCCCCTACATAACCACCCCCATCCTCTCCATCCCATCTCACCCAGCTCCCAAATCCCCCAAGCAAGCAAGCAAGCAGCCACCGAAGCAGCCTCCGCTCCCCTCCCCGACCCCGAAGCAATGGCGCGCACGAAGCAGACGGCGAGGAAGTCGACCGGCGGCAAGGCGCCGAGGAAGCAGCTAGCGACCAAGGCCGCCCGCAAGTCGGCCCCGGCCACCGGCGGCGTGAAGAAGCCCCACCGCTTCCGCCCCGGCACCGTCGCGCTCCGTGAGATCCGCAAGTACCAGAAGAGCACGGAGCTGCTGATCCGCAAGCTGCCGTTCCAGCGGCTGGTGCGGGAGATCGCGCAGGACTTCAAGACCGACCTCCGCTTCCAGAGCTCCGCCGTGTCCGCGCTGCAGGAGGCCGCCGAGGCGTACCTCGTCGGGCTCTTCGAGGACACCAACCTCTGCGCCATCCACGCCAAGCGCGTCACCATCATGCCCAAGGACATCCAGCTCGCCCGCCGCATCCGCGGGGAGAGGGCCTGAGCGGCGGTCGCCGTGTGCGTGCGTTGTCAGAGAGTCGTGCTGTGATGTTCCGGTCTCAGAGCTTGGTGGTGTAGCTAACATGTTCCTGTCCGCTCTCGTCGTTGCCTTGCCATATGTAGCCCCTTGCTGCGATGAATTATCAATGAAGAGTGCAGTTATCCTCATATGAATCTCGTTTCAGTGTTCGTTTTTCTGAATCTCATTTCTGTTGGATGTGTACTGTCTTTCTGTTCTTCAGTTTCGTTGTCTAGCTGTATGCTGTTCGTGCTGTGAAGCAGAGGAAGAGCACCACTGCCGCATAATAATCTTCATCCGTTGATTAGCCCCTTCCGTCATTGGATTGCGTCCTTCGTCTTCCACTCTATTTTAATTCTGGATTTTTTTTCTTAATTTTCGGATTGTGTTACGCTGATGGAGATGAAGAACAGGATCGCCGCGTCATGATTTTCGTCTCACCGTGGTTATGTTGTTCCATATTGAGATATCTTCCATATTTGTTCCCCAGATTTTGTTTTGGAAGTTTCCAGGTTCTCCGCGTCTGCCTCTTTGCCGCCTCCTGTTGGTGGTTGGCGGAAGGAATCCAGTAGTAGCTGAAAACCAACGCTGGCCGCCCAAGGCTGGCCCGCTGTCATTGACTTGTCGACGTCGTGGGGGTGAGACCGAATCCAGCAAAGTAGGAAACGGGAGGGGAGAAGCTTCTTTTACTTCCGCGCGGCGATCTCCCGTCCAAACCCACCCATCCAACCCACGTCGCCGCGGATCTAGCAGCCTCGTCGGAGCGGAGATGAAGATCACGGCGCTCGTCGTGCTGAAGCCGTCGGCCGGGGGCGCCGGGGGCTCCTCCTCCAGCGGCGGGCAGGGCTCCGAGGCGCTCGTGCTGGCCAACGCCACGGACGTCAGCCACTTCGGCTTCTTCCAGCGCGGCGCCGCCCGGGAGTTCATCGTCTTCGTCGCCCGCACCGTCGCCCAGCGCACCCAGCCCGGCCAGCGCCAGTCCGTCCAGCACGAAGGTAAACGCCCCTCCTCAGATCTGCTTGCCGCTGCTCTCTAGGTCTAGTTTACTTTGTGATCCGATGCTCAGATCCGGGGTCTGGGTTTGGACTGATTTTTCCGGCGGTCAGTCTTCTGCCACGGGTCTTACGGTAGTTTGATTCCTAGAGCAAGGCCAACATAAGTTATGATCTCTGCAAAGTAGCCTGTAGCCCTATCTGGTAGTTCATCCGATGTGCTGTAGGATTCGCACTTGCAAAGTGATTTTGTTGCTGAAGAAGCGCTGTAGGCTTGTGATTCTCTGTCCATACTGATTCATGATTATGTGACAATATCGACAATTTGCATTTGGTGGATTTGACCTAGTATTTCGGTGCTTACGGCGTAATTTAAGCCCCACCTGCTCCTATTCCTTGTATCTCCAATTGATTGCTAGTGCTCCTTTTCGTTTTAGTGACTTTGAGCAAATTCATTTTTGCGTATGTAATTGTGAGATCGAATCATTCAAACACTTTGCCGTTTCTTTGCAGAGTACAAGGTCCACTCACACAACAGAAATGGCCTCTGCGTGGTGGCATTTATGGATGATCACTATCCTGTACGAAGTGCATTTTCTCTTCTGAATAAGGTATAGATCGTTGATGTTGAAACTCATGTATTATGTATTTTGTGATTGGCCTAGTATCAATTTTTATCAATGCAGGATTTGATCTTCCTGTTCTATGTTCTTATTCTGATGAATGCTTCCAGATACAGACTTTTTGAAAATTATTAACAGAAAGCATGCAAGTGTTGACGTTACGCATCCATGGTTGCACACTGTATGCTATAAGCTCCCGCTAGGCTGGTATATATAATTGCCCTCAACATTAGAGAAGTGCTTTGGCATTATTGAAAAGGAATCCCTAGTGAGTGGCGGAGCTACAAAGAAACATCTGGACGGGCCGCGCTAGCACAATGTTTCTTAGAATTCTTAATCATACTACTTCGATAGACATACTCGGTACCTTGTGTAAGTCAGGAGATGCATACATATACACGTTGTTGTCATGCAGTTTGCTTCCTCGCTGATAAACCATGTACTCCCTCCGGTCCTTTTTAGTTCGCATATAAGTTTTGTCCCAAGTCAAACTATTTCTACTTTGACCAAATTTATAGGAAAGAGTACCAACATTCATAATACCAAATCAATATTGTTAGATTCATTATGAAATGTAGTTTCATAGTATATATATTTGATATTGTAGATGTTGGTATTTTTTTTTAGTCAAACTTTGCAAAGTTTGACTTGACAGAAATCTAATATGCAGAGTAAAAAGGACCGGAGGGAGTACAGTCTTTGCTAAACAAATATATTTTTCTCCTGAGTCCTGACATACATTCATGCGTGTAGTTAGATAATAATCATGATTTTATTGGGGTCATGCAAATATTTTCTGTACTGTCATAACTGAATAAGTTCCATAGAGCAGTTCTTCCATAGTAGTGTTTTTGGGTGATACTTAGCTGTTGATGCGATGTTTTTTATGAAGGTACTTGATGAATACCAGAAGGCTTTTGGGGATGCTTGGAAAGCCGCCACAGCAGATTCCACTCAAGAGTGGCCTTTCCTGATGGAAGCTTTGACAAAATTTCAGGTATAATCATCTATGGAAGGTTTTGTATGCTTGTGTGTTCATTGCTAGGAGGTAACATAATGCTCTATGTTTACTACTGGTCTATTTATCCTATATACTCCACAGAAAGAGAAAATGAGAGAGAGGGAGGGTGCAACTACAGTTGTAATAAGTTGTCTATTTTACAATTCTGCTATATCCATTGTATCGTGTCATGTATCGTTCTTGCCTTCTTGTTTTATGATGAAAAAGATGGCCAGATACAAGTTTGGTGTGCTGGGGTGGCTTCTAATTTTCTAAGGAATGGGCTGTATCTTGTGGTTGTATGTCTGTTTTTGAAAGAAAAAGTAGCTGGTGCGGTGTTCCGTGGTGGCTTCTCTGGGATGGGTTCTATGTTCTCCACACATTTAGGAATGGGTTCTATGTTTGGACATATTAGTGTGATTTTGCAATTTGCAGTGTGCTTTTACTCTACTTGTCATTTTCACTGTGGAACTTGCCATAACCCATGACAAACTTGTTCTCATTAATAATGAAGCATCCCATTTTGTAGGATCCTGCAGAGGCTGACAAGTTAACAAAAATTCAGAGGGACTTGGATGAAACAAAAATTATCCTAGTAAGTGTTAATTATCTGATTTTTCTACGTGCTTAGAGATCTACAGATTTACCATCTTACTTGCACCATACACAATGGGTGCAAGGCCAGCCTTTCCCTGTAAAGATGATCTTCACCATCCCATCTTGTACTGGAGATATCATGCTATTTTGTGTGTGGTAGCAACCCATTGCTGATATGCTCTGTATATGCTTGAATAATTTTAACAGCATAAAACTATAGAGAATGTCCTTCAAAGAGGAGAGCGATTGGATAGCTTGGTTGAAAAAAGCTCAGACCTGAGTGCTGCTTCACAGGTAAGCATATATTTATTTTATTTGCTATTTACCTGAGGGGTCCTTTTTTACTCAAGACATGGTGAAAAATTGCTACCAGTTACTGTTATTTATCTCCAAGCTACAACGGGCATTGTCTTTCAGCCTGCACATTGTTTTACTACAGGCGCCTCCATTAGATTGTAAAGTTTACTTGTCTAGTACGAAGGGATCACTGCCCATGGATATTTATTTCTAGTCATCTGCTATATGTGATGCTAATATTATCATGTGTGGTTTGTATAATAAGATAAATCTTGTTATTACATCATTCACTCACCAATTTCTTTACGACAATGCCCGAAACTGCTCTAATGCTGCACTTGCAATATCTTGCCTGTAATATTGAATAATTTCCTGAATGCTGTCCAGTTTCCAGAATGCTTTTTGTTAAAGTATATAATGTACATATTTGCAAAGGGCTCTTAAGGCACTTCTTTTCTTTTTACATAACCAGGTCCTGTTCTTCTAGGCTTTACTGTTTTTTCAGTCATAAAACAGACGTGCCCTTGTAACTTGCTGAAAATCACGATTTTAGTGTTACGGATCATTTCAATGCTTTGTCTTATTGAAGTCACTATGTTTGTTTTCCTGATAGATGTTTACCCTGTCCTTTTCAGATGTTCTACAAGCAGGCGAAGAAAACAAACAGTTGTTGTACTATACTTTGAAGCTTGAACTGTGATCCTCCAATCTTTCTTGGAAGGCTCCAGGTTAATGCTGTTTTCCAACAAAGATGCTGATACCCTCATACATGCTCCTTGTACCTTTAATTATACCTGCATAATTCTCAGGACACTTTTTACTCCTTTTTTCAGAAAGAAAATCAACCCAATATCGTTGTGTTGTACCGTAAGTCCGATTGCTCATGAAAACGTGCTGGGATCAATACTGTAAATCTGTTATTCTTTGGTGGTGCCTTTGAATAGCAACTAACATCACTTGTCGGACTAGATGGTTTCTCCCTGCGCTATACTCCTTAGCAATGGCCAACATCAATTGTCTTCTGCAATAGATTGTTGATATCTCAGTTCTCAAGTACTCCCTCCGTTCGGAATTAGTTGTCACAGAAATGGATGTATCTAGATGAATTTTAGTTCTAAATACATTCATTTCCGAGACAAGTAATTCCGAACGGAGGGAGTAGTATGTTGGAGCACCGTTGCTACTCTTAATTTAAGTATGTTGGAACACTGGTTGCTACTTGTAATTTATGTTCGATTGAAGATTGTTTGTACTATGCTTCCTTGATTTTATTACAAGTTTATTTATGTTGGAGTATTTTCTGCTAGCGACATGCATATACCGTGTCAAATGGTCAACATGCATGCCGTGTCAAATGCAAATGCCTTTGCTGATTTCCTGGACGCAACTTTTATTATTGTATGTAAGCAACGTTATAAATGGCACGTTATCTCCGTTGACATAAGTTATCGACAGCGTCAAGTTTACGCTAGTGGCTTCTGCAAGTCTTGACTGGACCACGAAAACGCATTCGAATCCAGGACCTGAAGTCACATAGCAAAAAGCAGCTATTCCCCTGACCAGGCTAGCGTTGAGGCCAAGCGGCAGCAGCCACTTGGGGCTGAGCCTGGTAGGAGTATATACCACGTATATGGTTGAAAAAAGTTACTCCAGGATATTTCACGTTTTTCAATATAAAAAGGCGCTACGATATTCCACGTACTACGCGTGAAGGGCAGGCCATCAAGCAAAGCTCCTCTTGTGTGGTTATTGAACGCAATAACAGCTTCCAACACCCCAAGCTTTGCTTGGTGCGAACTGCCGCTGACGACCGTGGCAAAACCGTCTCGCCGTCACGTCGGGGTTCAGTTTACGGCTAAACGTCGTCACTGTCCCGCTGATCGCTCCGCTTGCGCCGGGCGTTGGCGCCTTGCTCCGGCGGGACGGTAACGTGCGTGCGCGGGACAAAGCCCTGCCCTCCTCTCACTCCCATCACCTCACCACGCGACGGCCACAGACGCACACGGCCACCGTGCTACCAGCCATCGCGGATAGAGGGGATAGGCCTGGGCGCTCATTCCGTTGGAGCCCCAAGCCCCTCCGCTCCCAGCCTCACTTTCTCCCCGCGCTACCTACCAAAACACCACGCCGCGCGTCACGTCACGGCTCGCAGCCGGCCACTTCCCGCGCCGTACCTCTCGGGCATAGATAGATCGCTCACTTCCGGGGCCTGCGCTGCAAGCAAAGCCCGCAACACGTACCAACTCTCCTACGAGCTGAGCGAGCGAACGGGAGAGAGGGTCGGCGTCGGAGAAGGAAGATGGATCACGCGGCGGACACGTTCCGGACGGACCTGATGACCATCACGCGGCACGTGCTGAACGAGCAGAGCCGGCACCCGGAGTCGCGCGGCGACCTCACCATCCTCCTCTCCCACATCGTCCTCGGCTGCAAGTTCGTCGCCTCCGCCGTCAACAAGGCCGGCCTCGCCAAGCTCACCGGCCTCGCCGGCGAGACCAACGTCCAGGCAAGCTGTTTTTCTTTTTCTTTTTCCTTTCTTTTTTGGTTCAAATTTTCTTCTGTGAGAATGAAAGTATGATGATGGTTGCCTATTGGCGTGGGTTCCTCAGGGGGAGGAGCAGAAGAAGCTGGACGTGCTCTCCAACGAGGTGTTCGTCAATGCCCTCGTCAGCAGCGGCCGCACCGTATGAGTTATCTCTCGTCCCATTTCCTTTTTTTGCCGATTCGTTCTGCTTTGTGACGCTTTGCTGTGCGAACGACCGGATATACGCAGTGCGTTCTTGTGTCCGAGGAGGACGAGAAGGCGACGTTCGTGGACCCTAAGCTCCGTGGAAAGTGCGTAAAAAACTTCCGACTCCTCCATGCTCTGCTCACGTACCTTTGATGTGGTCAAGGAGCAAATTTTCCTCTGTTTGTTTCTGATGAAATGCGCGGATCTTCATTTTCCATCAGGTACTGTGTCTGCTTTGACCCCCTGGATGGATCCTCCAACATCGACTGCGGCGTCTCCATCGGAACGGTAAGGGAAGCACACAAGAAATTTCATCAAACCCAAAAAGTTGTTCGGAACACGCACAATTATGGGAAGTCACATTTTACTTTCCTTTTTGCCCTTTCAAAGTCTCAGCCTCGCAGGGAATATGCTCATAGAAACATGCTACATGGACAGTTTATTTCTTATTCTTACATGGATTTTCTTGCTCTACAGATCTTTGGGATCTACATGATCAAGAACCAAGACACCGTGACTCTGGAGGAAGTACTGCAGCCTGGGAAGGACATGATTGCTGCCGGATACTGCATGTATGGGAGTTCCTGCACGGTAACTAATCGAAGTTCCCTGACCTCGTGTTGCACAAGCAAGATAAATCGTGTGTGACTGTATCTGAATTGGCCTGTGTACGCTAATTGTCTGCAGCTTGTCCTGAGCACTGGAAATGGTGTCAACGGCTTCACGCTTGACCCCTCTCTCGGGGAGTTCATAATGACTCATCCAGATATCAAGGTATTGTGTGACACTGCTAATAGGATTCATTTACTTTTCTGAAAATTCACCTAGAGGCATACTACTCAAAAGATCTGTATGCTCTTTTGTTTCAGATACCGCCGAAAGGAAAGATCTATTCGGTTAATGAAGGGAACGCCAAGAACTGGGACACGCCTACTGCGAAGTGTGTGATCTTTTATGTTTCGGAGTAATATTACTTCCTTCAGATACTTAAGCTCCAGCTAACATGTCACAAAATATTTAACAGGTACGTGGAGAAGTGCAAGTACCCCACGGATGGTTCATCACCTAAATCCCTTAGATACATCGGCAGGTGAGTGAATCTTCAGTTTGCTTGCCTGACGAAACAATTTGCCTCACATACTTAAGCTTCTCCCTAACAATGAATGTAGCAACCACTTGTATAATTCTTGTCACAACATATAACACTGCATTCCTGATGGTTCACAGCATGGTTGCTGATGTGCACCGCACCTTGCTATATGGCGGCATATTTCTGTACCCCGCGGACAAGAAGAGCCCAAGCGGAAAGCTCCGGTACGCCAGCGCCTACGCGCACAATTCAAGCAGCACGTCCAATTGCACGCAATTCTTTTGAAGTTGCCTGAATTTGCTGTGTTTGCAGTGTGATGTATGAGGTGTTCCCCATGTCATTCCTGATGGAGGAGGCTGGAGGCCAGTCTTTCACAGGCAAAGGACGGGTATGTGTTGTTGTAACATGCAAACATCTCTGTTTTTTCTTTCGCTGGCCAGAATTTCATGTCCGGCAACAGACAGTATGTATGTTTTTTTTTTTTGCGGGAAAGACAGTATGCATGTTGACACTTGGTTTTCTGCGTTGTGAATCGATGCAATGCAGTCGCTCGACCTGATCCCCACCGACATCCACGAGAGATCGCCGATATTCCTCGGCAGCAGCGACGACGTGGAGGAGATCAAGGCACTGTACGCGGAGGAGGCCAAGAAGGCAGGGTCTGCATGATGATCGGCGGCCGTCGCGTGTGAATCGATGGCGACCCATGGGCCTTTGCTGGCAGTGTGATTCGTATGTCAGGCATTTCTTTTCTATACGTCCGTGTCATTCAGTGTAATATAGCGTGTGGAGGCCTCCAACAGCTTCATTCATGAGCAGCCAAGGCTTCTGCCTCTCACAACAATCCACTGATGATGGCACGTAATATACCTCCATAACTACATGTTTCCAGCTGACCAGCTCAAGAGGACCAGTTGCCGCAGGTTGTGCAGGACGTATTGCATATACATGCAGGACCTGTTTGGTTGCATGCATTATCTCCAACCAAGCTGGGTTGGGCCAAAAAAACACGTTTGGTTGCAAATAGGGTGGACCGACTCGCATCGGCATGAACCTTAAAGCAGTTCAGAGCCTGGCTTGCTGGAAATCCTCGAATCGGCAGTTTCCAGCAAGCCAGGCTAAGTGCGGCGCAAAAGGGATGTAGCGCGCACGTGACAGTGCAAGGCGAAATTGAGTGGAGATGACGAGGGATGGAAATCGGTCGAGGCGGGATGGTGTGAAATCTAGCCTCACCGTCCCATTTACTCGGCCACCGGTAGCTCTAGGACAAGCACTTGCTCTGTTCTTAGCACCGACGACGACGATGACTCAGATCTATGCAAGCGACGGCGACGGAGGCGGCAACATCACTCTCCAGCCGGCAGCAGGAGCCGCTTCCTCCCTTACTCTTGGCCACCATCCGGTCCTCCTCGACTCAGCCATGGCCTCCCCTTCCCCGTCGTCATCTTCGAAGCCGCTAAGCAACTTGGAACCCCTCCCCCTATGTTAGGCAAGGTGTAGGATCGATTTCTCCATTGCTCACCGCACCATTGATGTCGCCTAGGTTATGGACGAACGGGCAAAATTGGTAGTTCAGACAACAACGCTGATAGCCGTGGTTCAGACATGCCTCATGTTGATCCACAAGAGAGATGTTCGTCGTGGTGACAAGCCTGTCATTCGTTATGCTCCCATGTTAACCCGATATCAGGAGAGGATGGCGAATCTGAACTACATTTACAATTGCAGTGACACAAAGGCTCTGTGGATGCTAAGAATGAAAAGAGCACCTTTCACCAGGCTTGTGCAGACCTTCAGGAGCAAGGGGCTGCTACGAGATAGCATCTACACTAGTGCGAAAGAGCAAGTTGCCATGTTCCTCCATGTTGCCGGCTATAACCAGAGGTTCAGGTTTATCCCCAACACGTTCAGGGGATCAATGAAGACCATTTCTTGGTACTTCAGGCAAGTGTTGTATGTTGTTGGGGAACTCAGAGGAGAGATGATCAGGTCACCAATCGGCCGGACTCCTAGCAAGATTCGCAGCAGCCCAAGATGATATCCATATTTCAAGGTGAGCACTGACAGCATGGTTCATGCCTTGACATGCTTCTATTGTTCTCCTATAGCCATAACACCATCTTGTAATGCCATTTCAGGATTGCATCGGGGCAATAGATGATACTCATGTCACTACTAGAGTGCTCAGGTCACAATCTGCAACATACAGGGGGAGAAAGCACTACACAAGTCAGAATATTCTTTTTTTGACCCTGTGACTGTAGAACAATTATTCTACGACATGATTTCATTAACAAGGATATTTACAAGTACATAGAGGGAGGGGGTTGTTGAAACAACTAATCAACCAACACCAGTTCTAGTAGGCATTTGTCAAGTAATTACAAAATCTTATGAGATGCTTTCTAAGAAGCTAAATATGAAAGGTTACTTTGACTCCTTGACTATGTATTGGAGTGAAATAAAGTCCTCTTTGAATCTAGTAAGCTAGGACGTGGTGCTTGGAGATATACTTCTGAAATCTTTATTATTTCTTTCTTTCCAGATACTCCATGCAGTTTGGAGGAATATTTCCAGGAACATTGGTCTGGCCCAAGTAGATTATGTCTCTTAAATGATGGAGAGTCTTGATCCAACACCCTGCCATGTGATGTTGATTTTGTCCTAGCAACTCTTGCTGAATTGGCAGTGGAATATCATATGTTCAATTGTTTCCTCGGTTGCTTGTCCACATAGAATGCGGTTGTAGTTGTTTCCAATGTTGCGGTGTCTCCGTTTGAGCATGTTTCTAGTATTGACTCTAAGTCAGAATGTTCTTGCTGCTATTGACTTCGATCTGAAGTTCACATATGTGTTGGCTGGCTGAGAAAGATCAGCGCATGGTGCTAACAATCTAAGTTCTAGCATACTAGACTTGATGGCATCAATATCGCCGATGGCAAGTTCTACCTAGGAGATGCTGCCTATGCATGTCAGCCAAGTGTTCTCCCACCCTTCAGGAAAACCAAGTACCATATGAATGAGTTCTCTGGTAGGAACTATCCTAGGACTCCACATGAACTGTTTAATCTCAGACACTTCAGCCTTAGAGTTACTGTTGAGAGGACATTTGAAGCTCTAAAGAATATGTTTAAGATCCTGGATAAGAAGCCACACTTTCCCCACCCAGGTTAAGCTTGTTCTTGCAAGCATTCTGTATAACTGGATCTTGCAATGGGGTTGCGATGAACTAGTGCCGGAGGAGTAAGAGGTTGAAATGGCATATTTCTCCCTAAGTGGTTTTCGTGATTGATGACAATGCTTTTGCGGACCAATCGTGTGCATTGAGCATTTCAGATATCTCATGTCTAGACACTTGATGTTTCGATGCCCCTCAGAGCCTATCAAAGACGGCGGTTCTATACGGTTCTTTTCGGTGGATTTGAGTCATAGGAAAGCCGTACTATTAAGAGGGGGTCCACTTCGAAAAGGTATGGGTGGAATCAACACGTACACAACCCCATATGCACCCACAACCTCCTTTCCGTTCTCTGGAGCCTTTCCAATGTTTTATGTGCTGTTTTCAGCGTCTTACCAGTGGTAGTACCACTAGTGCCCATGGTAGTACCGCTTATGCGGTAGTACCGATGGTACTTCCGTGGCACTACCGCTTAGGGTTCCCCCGAGCTTGCAACTTTCGGTTGTCGATCTGTAATTCATGGTATTAGGGCGGTAGTAGAACGGTAGTACCGCTCCGCGGTACTACAACTCATACTACCGTCTCCACTACCGCTTGTGGGGTTTTCTTCTGTGCAAGGTTCTGTTCCCACTTTGCCCCAAGCGGTAGTAGAGCGGCACTAGGACGGTAGTACTGCTTGGCATGGTACTGCTGCTCCAGGCACCATCTACTATTGCAGCCTCTCCAGGTCTAAAACCCAAGGCGGTAGTACCGCCCGGGTCAGCGGTAGTACCGCTCCACCGGCACTACCATAGATACACTCTGTGTATTTATAGGCCTGTGCGGAGTAGTACCGCCTAAGCGGTAGCACCGCTTAGCTGCAGGACTGGGCAGAAAACGACTGGATTTTGGTTCCCCTATATAAGGGGGGGGGGTCTTCTTCTTCCTAGGGTTGATATCTTCCCCCAAGCTCCATTGCCTTCCAAAAGCTCATTCTTGCCCGATCTCTCTCCCTAGCCAATGAAACTTGTTGATTTTCTAGGGATTGGTTGAGAAGGCCCCGATCTACACTTCCACCAAGAGAAATTTGATTCCCCCCACTAATCCCTTGCGGATCTTGTTACTCTTGGGTGTTTGAGCACCCTAGACGTTTGAGGTCACCTCGGAGCCATATTCCATTGTGGTGAAGCTCCATGGTTTTGTTGGGAGCCTCCAATTCGGTTGTGGAGAGAGCCCCAACCTTGTTTGTAAAGGTTCGGTCGCTGACTTCAAGGGTACCAATAGTGGAATCACGGCTTCTCGCATTGTGTGAGGGCGTGAGGAGAATACGGTGGCCCTAGTGGCTTCTTGGGGAGCATTGTGCCTCCACAACGCTCCAATGGAGACGTACTTCCTCTCAAAGGGAAGGAACTTCGGTAACACATCCTCGTCTCCACCGGTTCCACTCTTGGTTATCTCTTACCTTTACTTGTGCAAGCTTATGTTGTGTTGTATCCCTTGCTTGCTTGTGTGCTATTTGTTGTTGCATCATTTAGGTTGCTCACCTAGTTGCATATCTAGACAACCTATTTTGATGCTAAGATTAATTTGGTAAAAATCTAAAAATTGTTAGTTTCCTATTCACCCCCTCCAATCAACCATATCGATCCTTTCAATTGGCATCAGAGCCTCGTCTCTTTATTAAGGACTTTGCCGTCCGAAGAGTATGGTTGACACCACAAACGAGGTGGAGGAGCACCCCGGTGCGAGTCCCCCTTTGTCTGAGGCCGATGGGGGATCTCGGTATCTTGTGAGGAGTTCAATGTGGCGTTGGACACATTGAGAACCTCCATGACGGCGAGGTCAAAGGCATTCTTAAGAATTTTCTTGACGGTCTTAAAGTTTCCGCCGCACCTTTGGAAGTGGTCGATCCCACTAACAAGGTGACAGATGCTAACTCCAACAAGGGGGAAGCTACTAGTGATCAAGTTCCTTTGACTAGTGGTAGAAGTGGAAATTACATCTTTGCCCATATTGAACCTCCTATTACTTATGGAGGACCGGTTCCCTCCATGCATATGAATCATGTTGGTCCTCCTCCCAAGCTTGTGAAAAATGAGGATTTTTCCGCTTGGGTCTATCGGTTTAAACGTCATTTAAATCATAGTTCTACTAATCTTTGGAGAATTATTGAGCAAGGTTTCTACCCGCACGACCCAAGCAACTTCATTCCTAGAGAAGCCACGGATCATCAATTCAACGAGTCCGCTCTCTTCATTCTCCAAGAAGGAATTCTGCCCAAAGATATTGCGCATCTCCATCCTTTCATCGTGGCCAAGGAAGCATGGCAACATGTTGTTTCCATTTACAAGGAAAGCGCAAGTATTCAAGATCAAACTTTGAAGTGGTGCAAGATGAAGCTGATTAGTTTGCAATGAATGAAGATGAAGAACCTCGATAGCTTTACCGGAGATTAACCACTCTCGCGGTCTCACTCCGAGATCATGGGAGCAATGATACGGATGACAATTGGATCAAGCGCAAGTTTCTCAAGGCCATTATGCCTTACCACAAGGCCATGTCCTCCGTCATCCGTCAAAGACCGGACTTTCACGCCTTGTCCTCAAGTGAAGTGTTGGATGAGTTTGTTGCAATGAGGATCTTGGACAAGACCGCTGACAATGCGGTGTTGCATTCTCAATGAGCAAAGAAGCCCAACCTTGCTTTGAAGGCCAAGGCTAGTGTGGAAGAATAGGGTGAAGAGGAAGAAGAGGAGTGTTGCCCCGAAGATACCAAATATGCTTATCATGAGCACATGGCTCTCGCTTCACGGCAATTTTGGAGAAAGAAGAACTCAAGGCCCAACTTCAACAAGAACAACTCAAGCGGCGCCAAGGGCAAGCAACGTGTGAGGACATGCTATAATTGTGGCAATGTGAGCCACTTTGTTGCTGAGTGCCCATACGAGAAAAAGGAAGACAATGGTGGCAAGCTTATCTGAAAAGACAAGGCCAAGTCCTTCCCAAACAAGAACAACTTCACCAAGGAGACTCCTCCCAAGGGGTTGGTGGCACAAGAAGAGTACAATGAGGATGATAATGATAATGAAGATGGTGAGACGGTTGACATGGCTTCCGTTGTGAAAGTGCGTTATATCGACTAGAGGGGGGGGGGTGAATAGGCGATTTTTATGTAAGTCTTCAAAATGTGGGAGTTATGAAGACAAACGATAGAAATAAACCTAATACCCTGCAGCGGAAGGTAGACTACACTAGGCAAGCCATAGTCAAGTATTCAATAGAGTGAAAGCACAATGACTAATAGCAGCAATGTAGTAAGGATCAGGTAGGAAGATATTGTGAAGCCAGACAGAACACGCAGTCACTCAGTGAAGACAAAAGATAGTGCAAACATAAAATGACTTCACAAGGAGTAACAGTAAGTAAAGGGAAGGGAAGATGAAACCAGTGACTCGTTGAAGACAATGATTTGTTGGACCAGTTCCAGTTGCTGTGACAACTGTACGTCTGGTTGGGGCGGCTAGGTATTTAAACCTTAGGACACACAGTCCCGGACACCCAGTCCTGAACATGCAGCTCAGGACACCCAGTCCTCACCGTATTCCCCTTGAGCTAAGGTCACACAGACCTCGCCCAATCACTCTGGTAAGTCTTCAAGGTAGACTCCCAAACCTTCACAGACTTCGTTCACCGGCAATCCACAATGTCTCTTGGATGCTCAGAACGCGACGCCTAACCGGTTGGAGGATGCACAGTCCTCAAGTGTAATAAGTCTTCAGATCACACAGACAAGAAGACTTAAGTGATGCCTAATTCTCTTTGGCTTTGGGTGGTTAGGGCTTTATCCTCGCAAGGAATTCTCTCTCAAAGGCTTCGAGGTGG